AACGGGCAGTGTTTGCTTTATTATTTTTTTTCTCAAAAATTAGTCGTTTTTGGAAAAATTTTAGAGAGACAAAAAAGTTTTAGGATACTTTCATCTACCTATGTAAGTTTTTTTTAAATGTATTTACCATCTGCATAAAAAAATCTAGGCATAAATTGAACGGGGGTGGTTACGTTTAGTAGTTTAGATGGGTAGGTTGAAAGTACAAATAGGGTCAAAACGTGCCCTATTATGAGTTAAACATATTCCGCAAATTTCATTTTCCTAGCGTTTATGGTTTTTGAGAAAAAAAAGTTAAACCAAAATTTTCCGCCATTTTTGGAGGGGTGTAGCTCCTTAGGGGAGCCGAACTCGCCCATGGTTCATATATCAAAGTACCCTTAAAATTCACTAAAGAATCACCCCTTGAAGTTTGTTGCAGTCATTCAGATACACCCTGTATATGTATACAGGATGGTTCAGTTTTTAATCGGGAAACTTTACTAGAACATAGTACTTGCCAAAATAACACAAGTTTTTTATATAAACATAGGGTCGCAACTCTTTTGTTTTCGAGCTATGATCGATCAAACTTGAGCCGAAAATTGCATTTGAAACTTTGTACATATTTACTGTTGGTTAAGACCTTATTTTCAAGCATACCTTAAACTTCCCTAGCGCCCTCTATGGGGATGAAATACACCACCCCCTTGATTTTTTTTATAAGAACTTTTTAACGCTATGGAATACTAACATAAAAAAATATGGGTTGTAAAGCTCATTCTTTAGTGGTACTTTTTTGTCTTTCTTTTTCTCAAATTTTTAGTGTTTGGTTCATTTATACTTTTATAACAAACCACGTTTCATACCACACTTTTGTAACTTAATTAAGATTTTCATCATTAGATTACTTTAACTTTTATAACAAAATTATAACTTAACATTTTCGGATTTCAATGTACAAGTTCATTTTTCAAAATTTTTTCCATTTAACGTGCGTCTTCTTTAACAAATGTCTCCATTGTCTCCATCACTTCACGCCTATTAGCTTCTCTGACAGTAAGTAGTTGTTATTTTAATTATAATTAAATATTTTTATAATTTGATTCTATTCTATTAGCTTTCGACTGATGATGGACACTGATTCTGAAACCGGTACCGATTTATATAAAATAAAGCAAGTTAGAACCTGGTTTTTTATTATTTCTCTTATACGATGTCAATAACTTCAATAAGAAATAAAAATGAGTCATATCTATTCAAATTTAAATTGAATTGTAATCTACATAAATTTAATTAATAAACTACCTATATGGAGATAATTTACTTAAATGATTATTTAATAAATACCTAATTTTTTAATCAAAAGTGTTCTTGATTTTTTTAAAAAGATGCGTTAAACCTGTTTAATTATAAGTCATCTTTAAGAAGATATCTTTAGTTTTATTTTAGTACTAAAATAATTTTCATAAATAAGATGCGTACTGCTTTAATAAGATATGTTTATACGTATATATAGCGCCACCTAGTAAAAATATGAAAAATGTCTCGAACAAAAATTATTGCTAATTTGGTTCTAAACAAATCTTATTTGAGTAATTCTTTGATGCTATCCTTAATTAATGAGATAACCTCAAAAATATCGTTTCTATACCAGTGTACAGCGCCACCTGATGAAAATACCGCAAACTTTTATTTAAAAGAAATATTTTAAATTATATTATAAACAAATATTATAGGAAAAATTTTTTGATAAAAACAATATTAAGCCGAAATATTCCATTATACAGGTGTCCCACCTAAGTTGCCTCGGTCCGTACTCGAATTGTGATTGAGTTTTTCAAAAAAATTTTCAAATAAAAGTAGGATCGAATCATATTGTACATATTTTAAAATTAGTTTCAGTAATGGCGGATTTCCGCTTCTACCGGAAATGGATATCAACTTTGTTATTATAAATGGAACATCCTGTATATTATTGCATTTTTGGATTCTTTGTGAAATTTCAATGGTACTTTGTTAAGGATACCTTAGGTCTAACTGGTATCGTTTTTGAATTATAAAACGATTTTTGAAAAAAATGACATTTGTAGCGTCTTATAAATTTGGCA